TGGTAAATTTCGAGCACAAAATGGGATCTCGTAAGAATACTATCAAATATATTCTCTTTACACATTAGCTGGCAATTCAGGAAATGATGATCTCAACAAACAACATAAAGAGGAAGATATACCTACAGAACCAGACTGTAAACGTCCGTTGTTGTCACACGCAGAAACCACTGATGGTAATGATTTTATAGTGAAATCTAACAATTGATTTTAATTTGTTTACAAAAATAACATTAGAAATATGTAATAACAGAAATTGACGGTTAAAACATGATTTCATTGTGGATTACACACAGTTAACACTCCAAATTCTTAAGAAAGAAAAAAATGACAGAATGGTTCTTAAATATCAGTTACAAAGAAAAAATGATTGGTATATAATTTTAGATACAAGAGATCTGCAACAAACATTTGACGAATTTGGGCTAAGGAAAAACATATATGAAGTCAAAGATACCGGTGTATTTAGTGAAATTGAGGAGAGAAAAGAAGGTTTTACATATCCTGTTAGAAATACCAAGTTTGAGGAGAAGGAAAAAGGTATTGCAGATATTTGTGCTTTTTATAGGCATTATATATTATACATTTATCTACTGGGTGTGAGTAGGATAGCTCTTTTATCAAACCCGCGACAGGGTACTATTCCCCAAGGGCAAGCCCTGTCGCAGGTTTGATAGAATAGCTATCCCACTCACAACCAGTGGATAAGCGTTTTATCATACTGATGTATAATATGATATATGAAGTTTGAATTTGTTAAGTAAGATAATTCTGCATAGTTTTACTGAAATTCAGGTGACTTCACAATGCTGCTGAAGTAATTATGACGTAAGTTTGAGGAATTATCGCTGGAAATCAAAATTTGCGAGAAGAATTGCATGAAAAATTTTCGAGGGTGGATAGCAAAAATTATACCTCTGTTAAAATGTTTCCTATGTATAGGTTATAGGCCGAAAACTGTCCATCCTGTGAGAAGGAAGAACTGTTGGAGGGCCGTTAGGCCCGACAATAGCTCTATTATCTCACAGAAAGGACAGTTTGAAATACAATGGACTACTTAAAACATTAACCATATTGTGTTCATAATGTACTCTCTAAGAACTTTTTATCATCTATTGTATTAAGTAAGGATTGTCTACTTATTGGACTGTGTCAAGTAAGTTTTTTTTACAAGTAGGAGGTATGATTCTTGAGAGGAGAAGTGATATTCCCTCATGTGTTGTCGGTGCAATATACATTCTAATAGAATTAAGAGATATTTCCTTCAAAGGATGAGGTGACTTGCGGTCCAAGGTAAATTGACAAAAAATTAAATGTCTAAATTTTAATCAATTTTTTGTATGTAACTAATCACCGCTATGTGTACTTTTATAGAATACTATTTTTAATAAAAATAGAAACGTGATTTTAAAGATATAGATCTTTTATTGGGGTAGGGTTATCATGTTTACATACAATTCCCAATGCATTTTAACCCCACCTCACTCTTTGAAGCCCTTAAAATATACGAGCGCAGGTAGGTACAATTTTCTCCTTTGGCTGGTCAGTGTATTTTATAAAAATCTACCTATATGTGAAAGGAGAAAATTGTACCTAACTGCGCTCACATGCTATTTCTCAAAAAATTGTAAAATCTAGTTGGCCTCTCCCATTATAAACAGATCGACGGAACTAGATTTTCTGACGTAAGAATGTATTCATCTGCTAATCGAGGCACAGGCGATACTTTCTAACTGACCAATCAGCTAAATGAAATTCATTACGAGTGAGTACCACAAAAATACTATGGAAACATGTTTGGAATTTTACTGCTTTCCGGTATTTTTTTTTATGCATTTGAGTCACAGATTAGACATGGATCTACATATGTACAATTTCCGAGAACCCAGTAAAATTTATATACAGTTACGAACAATTGATAGAGCATACATGATATATATTAGTTTTAAGTTTTGTAGCGTGTTTGGTGAGCAATTCGCTAGGTCTACACGTATTCCCGAGTATCGGTGAATACAACTTTCATGTGCATTTCTTGTCCTAAAAAACTGTAAATGCTGAAAATGCATGCTTATTATTAAGTGTAAATAGCCTTCACTGGCCATTGAAAAAGTTTGAAATGTAGAAAAGAATAAAAGGTAAATTGACCTAAACCACGTGTCTGTGATAAAATGTAAACGTAGTAAACCAGCATGTTTAGTTGTTCTGTCATCGGATTGGACAATGACTATGTGCAAAATAATAACAATATCCATATAAGGTCTTCTCGGACACGCATATCCCTCTATATTGTACTAAGACCCGCGCCCATTCTCTTGCCATAAAAGAAAATACTCGCACAAACCTGGCCGAATTTAGCTGTGATAAGGTCTAAAAAAATCAAAGATAATGCAGTATTTCTTATAATTAAAATGTGTCTGAACAATTGATATAATTCAAAAGGCGTCATATTTATTCACTCATGTTTGAAAACTACCATCATCGTTAAGTTGTAGATTAAATATAATTTGTCGTGGAAAAAGGGGCCCCAGATAGCAGTTATGTCACATCATCCTTTAAGTTTTTATATTCATTGTGAGTTAGAATAAACATTTCATCATTTATTAGAATAATTTCAAAGTTTCAGTTTCGTTTCTGTGACTTGGAATGTTTTATTTGATTACACTGTGAAATATTTTCGATTCATTGCCTAAAAAAATGTTTATCTGTGTTTATTTGTGTTGTGATTTCTTTATCCAGTAAGTTACTTGTAGCCATCAAATAAATTACAGAAAACTGTCCATTATTTTTAATAATGGACAGATTTCTTAATTTATTGGACAGTTTCGGGTAACTAATTGAAGTGTTTTGGGTCTTGCAAGAAATAGAAAGCACTAAAAGAACAAAAGATGATGTCATACTTATGTTTTAAATAACGTTCAGAGGGAAATATAGTTATCTTTTATAGTTCACGCAGAGCAAAGCTATACCCCGGGGTATAGTTTTTGCTATCCACCCTCGGAAAATTTTCATGCAATTTTTGATGCCAATTTTGATTGGCCCTCGGGGAATAGTTCCCTGTCGCGGGTTTGATAAAAGAGCTATCCCACTCGCAAACAGTGTATTAGCGTATACTATACCCCTGGATATAGTTTTGCTATGCGTAGACTGTCAAGGGTAGTTATTTTACCTTCTGAACATCAGGGACCTATATACTAACGGGATAGGCAACTACCGCAAATCTCGCGATATCTCGTAAGTCGCAGGATTTTGTAAGTCAACTTTAATTAACTATATTTCTAACGCTATCGCATATTTGAGATCAAATCCTTTAATTATCTGTCAAAAAATCATTCAAGATTTGTTTTAATCACGTATTATACTCCTTATCTTAGTAGTAATTTTGTTTTATGCAAAATCAGCACATGCCCCGATCGGCCATATTTCCGAGAAATCGCCGACTTTGGTCTTTGTTTTCTTTTTATTTAAATTATATTTTTATTATCATTTAAGATTTATTAATAAATCAATTCCAATACATAAAAGGAATAAATGATAATAATCAGAAAACACCCTTTTTACTGGGAATAAATGTTAATTGAAAAATTCGTAGTGTCTTGCGGGATGTTTTGGGTATAAAAACATGGCGATGAAGGAGTTGCCTATCCCTTTAGTATATAGGTCCCTGTGAACATTAAGGAAACATTTTAACAGAAGTTCGATAGAGCATGACATAGTAAATGCATTCCGAGTTTGCTATCTCAAAATATAAGATCTAATATTTTTTTCTTCAATGCTCAGTGTACGTGATGGAAAAGTTTGAAGTCTAATTTCTATTCTTAATCTGTATTTAATTACTTTATGAGACTTGTCCATCGATATAATAACAATCTTGCAATTTACGTATCCATATTACATGTTTGTCGATCTGATTGAAGAACAATAATTCTTTGCAAAATTGCATTCATTTTATTCTATTTTTTTAAACCTCAAACAATATAAACAATTTGCAACATTTTTACCTATACAAGCACTACAGGTACAGAAGGGGAATAAAACAAATTTTAATGTAGTTTAATTCACATTTACACAATTAAAATTTGTTGCAGCTTATTGCAGCAAAGCACACTTTTTCCTACACAGCACTGTATAAAAATTTATCAATTTTGTACAGAGAAATAACTGCCCTTAAGGACTTCTTGCTAAAATTTTATGCAAAACTCGTCTCTCTAAGGATGTACAACAAATCCCCAATTATATAACAATTATGAAGTTAAACGCTACGCCTCCTTCACGGTTCGATACGTATTGTAAAATCTGTAGTCGGTTCAGTTAGATTCAATAAATTTTAAAGGAAGGGAACACATTCAATTGTTGTTTATGCTTTCTTTCACTTAAAATTTCACAGTGCGTCAAAACAATAAGTTTGGAGCGCTTATGAGGAACAGTCTATAAAAATGCATTCTTAAAAAGATGAATTCAAAATTTTCCAAAATAAATAATATCAAAATAAATGAATATTTTATTTTCTTTACACATTAGCTGCCCATTCAGGATATGGTGAGATCAACAAACAACATAAAGAAGAAAATATGCCTACAGGACCAGATTGTAAACTTCCGTTGTCGTCACACGCAGAAACAACTGATGGTAATGATTCTATAAAGAAATCTAACAGTTGATTTTAATATATTTAAATAAATTACATTAGAAATATCTAATAATAGAAATTGACGGTTAAAAATATAATTTCATTGCGGAGTGCATACAGTCAACATTCCAAATTCTTTTGAAATTAAAAAATGAGAAATAATAATTGGCATATAATTTTAGATACAAAGTATCTGCAAGAAAAATTTGACGAACTTGAGCTAAAGGAAAAAGTATATGAAGTCACAGATACTGATGTCCATAGTGAAATTGAGGAGATAGAACAAGGTACAGATCCTGAAATGTTAGATACAATGTTAGAAGACAGAATTCCAGGTATTGCAGATATTTGTGCTCTTTATGGACATTACTATATACTGTAAATCACTTTTTATTCGCGAGAACTTTATTTCCGCGTAATTACGCGAGACGATGTGCTCGCGAAAATTTAATTCTCGCGTATATAAAGATTCCTTAAAATAATATAGAGCAATAACCACAATTCGTGAAAATTTTGTCTCGCTAATCAAGAGTCAATGACTATCTCTCGAAAATAAGGTGTCGTAAAAATTAAGTGATTTACAGTAGCATGATATCGTAAATGCATTCTGAGTTTGTAATCTTAAAATATAAGAACTTGCTTTTTTTATCCAATGCTCATTCTACGTAATAGTAAAGTTTCAAGTCCCAATTCTATTCTTAATATGTATTCAATTACCGAATAAGACTTGTCCATGGATATAATAACAACCGTGAAATCTGCGTTTCCAAATAACATGTATTTAGATCTGACTGAAGAAAATTGACTCTGTATGAAAGTACGTGTATGCATGTTATTCTATTTTTAGGTCACCTGAGTAAACTCAGGTGACCTATTGCTATCTGTTTTCGTCCGTCGTCGTGCGTCGTGCGTCGTGCGTTAACATTTGAACATTTTCAGCTTCTTCTCTGCAACCACTGAACCAATTTCAACCAAATTTGGCATAAAGCATTAATGGGTGAAGGGGAACAAAAATTGTGAATTCCATGATCCCTGCCCCCCCTGGGGCCTGTGGGTTGGGGCCAAAACCACTAAAATTAGTGCAATCTTTAAAAATCTTCTTCTTCACTCCTGGACATCAAGCAGTCAAACTGTTTGCATGATTGTAATCAGCAATAAGTTCCCCAGCAATAAGTTCTCTACCAAAATTGGGAAATTCATGGCCCTGGGGTCAGGGGTTCTAGTGCTAGGGCGGGGCTAAATAAGTAGGTAGTGAAGATGCATTATTTCTTTGAAAATCTTCTCTGCTCCTGGGTATTAAATAAACCAAAAAAGTATATAGTAAAGATGAGCAAGAGTGCCTCTACCAAAATTGTGAATTTTATGGTCCCAGGGTCAGGGGTTCTAGTGTTAGGGCGGGGCTCTATTGATTTTATAGTGAAAATACATTAATTCTTTGAAAATCTTCTTCTCTGCTCCTGGGTATTAAATAAACTAAATAAGTACATAGTTATGATAAGCAAGAGTGCCTCTACCAAAATTGTGAATTTTATGGCCCCAGGGTCAGGGGTTCTGCTGTCAGGGCGGGGCTCTATTGATTATATGGTGAAAATACATGAATTCTTTGAAAATCTTCTCCTCTGCTCCTGGGTATTAAATAAACTAACTAAGTACATATTTATGATGAGCAAGAGTGCCTCTACCAAAATTGTGAATTTTATGGCCCCAGGGTCAGGGGTTCTGGTGTTAGAGCGGGGCTCTATTGATTATATAGTGAAAATACATGAATTCTTTAAAAATCTTCTTCTCTGCTCCTAGGTATTAAATAAACTTACTAGTAAGTGCATAGTTATGATGAGCAAGAGTGCCTCTACCAAAATTGTGAATTTTATAGCCCCAGGGTCAGGGATTCTGCTGTCAGGGCAGGGATCTATTGATTATATAGTGAAAATGCATGAATTCTTTGAAAATCATCTTTTTTCTGCTCCTGGGTATTAAATAAACTAACTAAGTGCATAGTTATGATGAACAAGAGTGCCTCTACCAAAATTGTGAGTTTTATGGCCCCAGGGACAGGGGTTCTGGTGTTAGGACGGGGCTCTATAGATTATAGAGTGAAAATACCTGCATTCTTTGAAAATCTCCTCCTCTGCTCCTAGGAAATAAATAAACTAAGTACATAGTTATGATAAGCAAGAGTGCCTCTACCAAAATTATGAATTTTATGGCCCCAGGGTCAGGGGTTCTGCTGTCAGGGCGGGGCTCTATTGATTATATAGTGAAAATACATGAATTCTTTGAAAATCTTCTCCTCTGCTCCTGGGTATTAAATAAACTAACTAAGTACATATTTATGATGAGCAAGAGTGCCTCTACCAAAATTGTGAATTTTATGGCCCCAGGGTCAGGGGTTCTGGTGTTAGGGCGGGGCTCTATTGATTATATAGTTATATAGTGAAAATACATTAAGTTTGTAAAAATCTTCTTCTCTGCTCCTAGGTATTAAATAAACTTACTAGTAAGTGCATAGTAATGATGAGCAAGAGTGCCTCTACCAAAATTGTGAATTTTATAGCCCCAGGGTCAGGGATTCTGCTGTCAGGGCAGGGATCTATTGATTATATAGTGAAAATGCATGAATTCTTTGAAAATCTTCTTCTCTGCTCCTGGGTATTAAATAAACCAAGTAAGTACATAGTTATGATGAACAAGAGTGCCTCTACCAAAATTGTGAGTTTTATGGCCCCAGGGACAGGGGTTCTGGTGTTAGGACGGGGCTCTATAGATTATAGAGTGAAAATACCTGAAGTCTTTGAAAATCTTCTCCTCTGCTCCTAGGAAATAAATAAACTAAGTACATAGTTATGATGAGCAAGAGTGCTTCTACCAAAATAATGAATTTCATGGCCACAGGGACAGGGGTTCTGGTGTTAGGGTGGGACTGTATTCATTATATTAGTGAAAATACATGAATTCTTTGAAAATCTTCTCCTCTGCTCCTAGGAAATAAATAAACTAACTAAGTATATAGTTATGATGAGCAAGAGTGCCTCTACCAAAATTGTGAATTTTATGGTCCCAGGGTCAGGGGTTCTGGTGTTAGGGCGGGGCTCTATTGATTATATAGTGAAAATACATTAAATCTTTGAAAATTTTCTTCTCTGCTCCAGGGTATTAAGCAGATGAACTACCAATATAGTTCTGACGGACAAGGGCCCATATCTTCCACAATTGTGAATTTCAAGGCCCCAGGGTCAGGGGTACCATAGAGGGGGGGGGGGGTTGTACTTACATACTGAAAATGAATGAATGGTTTGAAATCTGCTCCTTGGTATTAATCAAATATCAAGGCCTAAGGGTCAGGGGTTCATGTATGGTAGGGGCACTACTGATTATTGCTGAATATTACTGATTAGTTGAAATGCATTTTGTGTTCCCTTACCCTGCGTAAGGGTATTAAGTAAACAAACTAAGCATCTGCTAAGTGTATTGTTATGATGATCAATGGTGCCTCTTTCAAACTTGTGCAGGCTATAGCATCTGGCTTAAAACATGAATCAAATTCAATCACTTGAAAGTTGTTTCATAATGCTCAGGTGACCTATAAGGCCCATGGGCCTCTTGTTTAACCTTAAAGAATATGAGCAATTTGTAAATTATTAACCTATACAATCACTACAGGTACAGAAGGAATTAGAACGATGTATTTAAATTCTAAGGAATTTAATATTTAATTTAAATCCGTTGCAGCTTCTTGCAGCACGGCATACCGTAATTGAGTAAAATATGCTGATTGAGTTACCCTTGTCTTCAAAAACATATTACTTTTATGATTTTTAGTTCTGCTTGGTTGTGCTAAATCATGGAATGCGGCAATATTATTTTTTAAAGTGTTTCTTACATCAACAATGGACAAACTATAAAAACGTGGCAAAATGTGAATTTGTCTTAATATTCCCTGGTTTGAAAAGTCAGCGGTTATTCGACTTGTGCTTTCTCACAAAAAGTACCAAATGTATTAAATTTTTATGGGTGGTTTGGTGAAATTCGAACACGAAAATGAGTTTTCTTAAAAATAGTTATTTCTTCTGCATTCTAGTACTACGGTCTTCACGGAAGACCTGGTGATTCTACTTTTTCTTACATGTATATTTATTTGTCCGCAATATTTTGTGCAGGCGATTTTTCGAAAGCTATTCACTGGTTTAAAGAGAATCTTTCAGGAAGTATGCGTCATTATAGATGTCTGATCTTACTTCATCAAAAGGAATAATAGAAAAACTAACCTTTGCTTCCAAGTTATTGAATTTCTTTTTTTTATTTTAAAATTGATTATTGTGAAGCATTTCTTAATGATATGAAATACTAACTGGATATGATACATGATGCTACCGGAAGCGAATTATAAAAGTAGATTTTTTCAACTTAATAGGTTTTCCATATTTTTCTTTGATATTAAAGAGTTTATAGGGAACCCTCTTGGAATGTCTTATATCTAATTTATTTTAAAATTGATCAATCCAGACTCTGGATATTCGCATTTCTTAATTTGAAGCGAGACCAAAATGGCGGCTGTCTCCAATAACCAGATGGTAGTTTATGGGTTCAACTGAGCGTTTGGTTGAACAAAAGTTACATGTATGTACCATAAGGATCATTGAATTCTGAAGGAGTTCTTGGAGAATTGTATCGTCGCAATCACGTTGCAACACTGATCTGAATTCAGTATTTAGCTTAAGTATTCCAGTTTAATTCGAGGTTTCCTCCGACCTCTCCTAAAATGGTTTTGTCTATTTCTCAAAGTTGAATACAACTTGACTGAGTGGAAATAAGATAGTGTTCTTGACATTAGTAACCACCGATATGCGATTGGTGTTTTTACTCGACATTCATACATGTTGTAAACCTAGATTTCTTGAATGCAGATACATTTGTGCAACCATCTTTTTTAAAGTACAGCTTTTTTCATGTTTCACTTTCATGATTCTCCACCCATATACACAATTTTTTACTAATGTGTATCGGGAAATAAAAAAAAATACTCTTTTCCTCTCGCTAGATCGTGGGTTTGCTGAGGTCACAATATAATTTGACGTAGAAATCTTTCAACTTTTACAATAGCAAAGCGGTATGCATTAAAAAATTAAAACTCGCAAAACAGTTTGTTTGTTCTGTAAAATTTTTTATTAATTTTACATAGGCCTATTTATGAATTTAAAAGAAAAGGATGGATCAAGGATAAACAGGATAAAATTGAAAAGTTTTCTTAAATATCTGAAAATGCAAGGTTAATTTTTTTTCTATTGAAACGTAGAAGGATATGGAGATAACGAACAGTATTCAATCTCAACGTCCATTAAACATTATTCAAAATAAGAGCAGAGCAAACACGGACCTCCGAAA